TGTATGGCTGTGAGGTAGGGCCTAATTGAGAGTCCCGCTTCTGCCCTTCCTTTACCAGGTCATCTTGGGTGAGTCACTGCCATTCTCTAGGCCTCAACTGCACCAACTATAAAATGGTAATAATGATTTAAGCATATCCATAGGGTCTTGTCTTGAGTAACTTTTTCAAACTGTATAGAAAGTACTTTGCAGACTAATTACAATTACTAGGATCATTCTAGACCTGAAGGATGATGAGAGCAACGAAGCTAACAGTCTTCGGCTGCTGTAGAGCCTGAGACCATCGGAAAACACAGAGATTTACATTACGATTCATAACAGTAGCAAAATTACAGTTATGAAGTAGCAGCGAAAATAATTTTATGGTTGGGGGTCACCACAGCATGAGGAATTGTATTAAAGGTTCGCGGCATTAGAAAGGTTGAGAACCACTAGTTTAAACAGTACGTTCAGAGCCTTAAAATGAATCTCAACTTAGCATTCAGTTCTGGCCTCTTTGGCAGCAAATACAATACTAATTTTAAAATTCGATCGTGATTGACACCAGATTAGGTTTTACTAGTACAGAACACTAGGGTGCTAACAGCAGATTAGGATTTTCCCATTGTTTTGGACATTGTATGTCTCTCTTTTGTTTTCTTTTAAAATTTTTTTATTGATTTTTAAAGATAGAGGAAAGGAGAGGGATAAAGAGATGGAATCATCAATGAGACAGATGAGACAGGAACATTATCAATCGGCTGCCTCTGTACACCCCACACTGGGGATGGAGCCTGCAACCCAGGCGTGTGCCCCAGCCGGAAATCAAACTGTGACCTCCTGGTTCATAGGTCAACACTCAACCACTCAGCCACACCAGTCAGACTGGACATGGTGTCACTTATGAGATTTTCCATGTGTTGAGTGTGATGTGAGCCCCCTGAACACAGATAAATTATCCTATTATTGACAACACAGTAGATTTGATAACTTATTGAATGTGTGTTGATCAAATAACTGAAAAATCTATACGCAGCTAATTGAAATATGGATTATATGTTGATTCACATGACAGTGAGACTGTATGAAGGCGCAGGCCTATTGTGTTTTTTCTCTTCGGAAAGAGGGTCGCTTATCTAGCTCAGTAATAAGCTTGTGTGGATTGAGATTGTCTATTTTGTGGACTAAGGTATCTCGGTCATTTCACTCTCATGCTGTGATGTGTTCCTGTCTTCCTTCCCCCTTCTCCACCCAAAAGCAAAGATTAATTTAAAAGCAAAGATGGCATCACTGTAAGTTAACTTGTCATCCTTTTCACTTTCCCTTTCTTTTTCAGTGCAGTCATGAAAAGTAAGTATAAGCAAAAGAAATCATAACTTTGATCTCCTGCTTCCCTTTTCCCTGTCAATATACGTAAGAACACCTACTAACGGATCTGCTGTCCTGAGTGGGGCTCCTTTAGGCAAGTACATCCGGGCATTTTAAAACCCTGTACAGTAGCTGTCCAGGTAGCAGGTGCAACGCGTCTGCCCATGGCCACGTGGGAAGCCAAGAGTAAGTAGATGGTGCGTGTGCTTGATGTGTAGGCATAACATCTGAAGGTCAGAACAGAATCTTTTCACAAATCCCAGAAGGGAGTCTTACCGCTCCTTTCCCGCGCCTCTTATTATCTCTCACCTCTTATCCCATAGACTCACGCTGCCAGGTGGGTGGCCTCAGCCAGCACCCCCTCTCTGGCTGCTTTGTCACTCAGCACCTCCATGCCACTCAGAAGCAAGAGTGACACATGTTCTACCCACCTCTCCATCAGAAATTCAAAGCAGCTGCATCTCACAGCAGCTCTGGTACTAAGAGTTAACAAACCTTCCCTGCCAAACGTCAGTAAGTTCTCCTTTCCCAAGCCTCCCTCCTATGGTTTTGTGGTACAGGGGTTAACAAGGTGTCTGCTTTCTTTGCTCAGTGGTCCCGAGGGTCATCGCAGTAGGTCAGCCGAGTTAGCACATCAGTAAGTAGTTTACAACAACTCCCAACACAGCAGGGCGGCATGGCCGCCTTAGCGAATGGATGGAAAATATCCCCTTGCTATAATTGGGTTCAGCCCTGTGGCTTAACACCATCTTATTTGGCAATCTTTTTCTCTTGACATATTTAGTAATAGCTCTAAGAAAGATTTATTAGACTGTTCATGGGAACAAACAATGTGTTAAATATTACACATAAGCATGCTTTCAATACCACTCCTTTTCTAGTCTATGCTGAACCTTTCCCCAAAGTCTTGCTTTGGACTCATCAAAATTCTCCCTTGTCTTTAAATTCCTCTTGGTCCTTGTCTCCTCCAAAAAGAACCTTTTCTATTTTTGGAATGTTTTTGTAGTTATTGAGTTCTTTTCATCAAAATTCACCTGGCCATGCTTAAAGAAGAAAACACACTCTCACAGTTTAAAACCACTGAAGACCTTTTGTTCATCGTTAATCTCAAAACAAAAATTTAGCATATGGTTAGAGTTTTGTGAAAATAATCTCCTGGGTATCTCTGGGGGAGAGAGAGGCGGGGATAGAGAGAGAGAGATAAGGAATGAACTCCAAATATTTCAGCCAAACATAATACAATGAACTGTTTCCTGAACCTGAGGGTTGGTGCCCATGGAGAGATGTGGGTGAGAGGCCCTGAGAATCAGGATTAACAACTTATGCTCTGTGCTCACTAAGGGACTTTGACAGCTGGTACCCCTCAGACATTTTAAAAAGGAGAATAAATATCCCACCCACCTTGGCACACGCAGAGCAAACTGTCTTAGCCAATAATCCATCTAGAACAGATTTGAGAGAAAACACATCAGGGTCATGGAGATGCTCAGAAGGTTATGAGTTACAGTGACATAGACCCAGCATGGCCACTCTGGACGTTATCCCTTTACATATGAAATGTTCTTCTTCAGTCATCAGATATACAGCAATGACTGTCTCTACTCTTGGGAGAGCACCCTCAGGGCTAGGCACCGCTCTCCATGCACTCATTTACTTAACATTCAACTTCCTGTCTAGCACTTTTGTACACTGGCCCGATTTTGTGCACTGGCCACAATCCACACACAGAAGGCCTTGTTTTCTCACTTTAGCCAGTGGTTCTCAACCTTCCTATTGCTGCAACCCTTTAATACAGTTCCTCATGTTGTGGTGACCCCCAACCATAAAATTATTTTCGCTGCTACTTCAAAACTGTAATTTTGCTACTGTTATGAATCAAAATGTAAATATCTGTGTTTTCCGATGGTCTTAGGCGACCCACAGGTTGAGAACCGCTGCTGTAGAGCCTAAGACCATCAGAAATCACAAAGATTACATTATGATTCATAACAGTAGCAAAATTACAGTTATGAAGTAGCAGTGAAAATAATTTTATGGTTGGGGGTCACCACAACATGAGAAACTGTATTAAAGGGTCGCGGCATTAGAAAGGTTGAGAACCACTGCCTTAAATGGTAGGTTACACATAGTTCTGCACATCTGATTTTTTTAGGGGCGAGGCATTGAAAGCACAAATTCAGGAATTAGTTGCTAGCAAGAACCTTCATCCGCTTGCTGGTATTGCCAACTTAGAGGTGGAGTGTGAGGGGCCAGGAGCATAGTTTCAGGAGCCAGACTGCATGATTCAGCCCAACTCACTCTAACTGTGCCTGTGAACTTGGACAAGGGATCTGGCTTCTGGATGGCTCAATTTCCTCATAGGAAAAAAAAAAACACTGAGGCTACCCTTGTGCTTCATAGTTTCTTATAAGGATGAAATTAAATCATCTGTGCCCGGCCTGTGGTGGGGACTGTTACATGGGTGTATTCCCATGTGCACTAGGATCGCAGGCATGCAGACCTGGGCAGGCAAACATCACTAGGGTGAGGTGGCTAGAATGAATTCCATTTTGATCCCTGAGCACAACTCCCATGGATCCCAGCCAGACTCTTGCAGTGATAGCTCCCTTCCCATATAATCAGACAAGGAAAGTCAGAGAATATGAGGGCTCTCAAGGTGAACCTCTTTTATGGCTCCGAGTGATTGAATTGGATGCAGAAATCGCTTAGCTGCCTGCAAATCAGCAGCGAGGGCTGGGCCTGCAGAGCACCTCTGCACCTGGAACTGCGCCTTAGTTCCCTTTTCACTTGACACTTTCAAGAGAAAGACGCTGAGCCCTAACCAGTTTGGCTCAGTGGACAGAGCGTCGGTCTGCAGACTAAAAGGTCCCAGGTTAGGCACATCCCCAGTATGGGGTGTGCAGGAGGCAGCTAATCGATGTTTCCCTCTCCCTTCCTCTCTGTAAAAAATCAATAAAATATATTTCTTTAAAAAAGAGAGACCGTGAATGGTGGACCTATATAAGGTTTTCAGATATTTATAGACCAATTGAGTCATAAATAAAGAACATGGCTTCTGGAAATAATGCTGGTACTTAAACTCGGCACTTCTCAAACTTTCATTATACCAGAATCTCTGGGGGGGCTTATGAAAACACAGATTGCTAGGCCCCACCCCAGAGATTCTGACTTACTAGACCTGAGGTAGGGCTTGAGAGTTTCCGTTTCTGGCAAGTTCCCAGGTTGTGCTGATGCTGCTGGTCCAGGAACCACGGATGTGTTTTGCATCCTTACTGTCTATTTTTTAAGTATATTTTCTTGATTTCAGAGAGGAAGGGAGAGACAGAGAGCAATAGAAACATCATTGATGAGAAAGAATCGTTGACTGGCTGCCTCCTGCATGCCCCCAACTGGGGATTAAGCCTGCAACCCGGGCATGTGCCCTGACCAAGAATTGAACCGTGACCTTCTGGTTCATAGGCTGACAGTGGCTGGGCTCCTTACTACCTATTTCTGATGTAAGGTTATAACATTTAACTTGAACTCTTTAGCATAGAGATGGCATGAGTGACTTCCCACCCCCCAAAATACAGATATTTGAATCCACAGAGCTCATGTCCTTATTCATGTGTATTTTTGCTAATAAACACTGACTTTCATTTTTTCCCTCATAGTTGCATGCTGCTGTGACCAAGATCCAGGTTCCAAGACCTGGTTTCAATTACACGTTTGCCCACATATGTGTCCTGAATAACGATAAGACTTGCATCGTGGATGACATAGTGCATGTGCTGCAAGAGCTCAAGAATGCGCGGGCCACCAACCGGACCAATTTTGCTATCACATACCCAATCACTCACTTAAAAAACGGGAGGGCCGTGTACAATGGGCACCAGCTTGGAGGTGTCACCGTGCACAGCAAGGACCGGGTGAAATCCGCAGAGGCCGTCCAGCTCACCTACTACCTGCAGTCCATCAACAGTCTCAACGACATGGTGGCTGAGAGGTGGGAGGCCAACTTCTGCGACACTGTCCGGCTATTCCAGGAGTCCAACAGCAAAATCAAAATCTACCCTTACACGTCCTCCTCACTGAGGGAAGACTTCCAGAAGACCAGCCGCGTATCGGAACGTTACCTGGTCACCAGCCTGATCCTGGTGGTCACCATGGCCATCCTCTGCTGCTCAATGCAGGACTGCGTCCGCAGCAAACCCTGGCTAGGCCTACTCGGCTTGGTGACCATAACCCTGGCCACGCTCACTGCAGCCGGGATCATCAATCTGACTGGTGGGAAATACAATTCCACCTTCCTGGGAGTCCCTTTCGTCATGCTAGGTAATTACCGCCCTTCCTTTTTCTGCTGGTAATGGTGACTGGGTTCCTAAAAGGCAAAGAGCAGCCATCTAACAACTTAATTTCTTTGTCAGTGTCTTCCCTTTGCCTAGAAGTCCTGGGACCAATGGTAAGAAGTCCTGGTGGTCAGCAAGAAGCAGCCTTATTTGGTAAAGGTGCCAGAAGTCCAACATCCTGGGCTCCAGCCCTGGCTCTCCTTTAAGTAGCCGTGTGGCATCTGGCAGATAGTCATCTTTGTGCCATGGTGTCCCAGGTTAAGCCTCCCTGGAAACAGACTGTGAGATAAGGATTTAGATACAAGTCGCTTATTTGGGAGGTGAGCCCAGGAAGCCCCAGTGTGGGAATGACAACATGAGACTGGGTAGGAAGACAATTCAGGGCATGTAAATGAACAGATTCCTGCTGCGGGCATCTCTGGCTCAATCCCACTGGGGACCTTTGGGACACCTCAGAGAACACTCTGTAGAGAGGGCCTCCTTCAGGAGTGAGGAAGCTGGGAGCTAGGCTGTGTCCCCGGAAGCCCTATGCATGACTCTCCCAGGGTCGTTAACACCCAAGCTCTTCACCGGGAAGACCCAGCACATTCCTACAGCTGGAGAAATCCCTCTGGTCACGGGTATTGGCGGTAGGAAGCCTTCCATGACCTTTAGAACGGTGAACAGGAGGGCACGTGAGTTGAGCACTGACAGTGTCTGCTACCCTCAGTTTCCCCACCCACTAGATAGAGTGGATGTGAACATCACACAAAAGGACATAAGTAAATATAAAAGAATTTTAAGAGCAACAACTGAGATATAAATAGAAGGAAACTTTTTCTGTCCTTGCTGTGAACTCAGGAGAATGTTTCAAAATGATGGTGTAAGAGCCCGGGATGGTTTGGCTCAGTAGGTAGAGCATCGGCCTGTGGACTGGAGGGTCCCAGGTTCAATTCCAGCCAAGGGCACATGCCCAAGTTGCAGGCTCGATCCATAGTAGGGAGCATGCGGGAGACAGCCGATCAATGAAACTCTCTCATCATTGATGTTTATATCTCTCCCTCTCCCTTCCTCTCTGAAATCAATGAAATATACACTGAGTGTCCAGATTATTATGATCTCTGAATGCATAATAATCTGGCCACTCAGTGTATATCCTATATAATAAAAGGCTAATATGCAAATTGTCCCCTTGACCATGTCCCCTCCCCCTGGCCAGGCTGGCTGGACTCCACCCATGCACAAATTCATGCACTGGGCTATATATATATATATATATATATATGTGTGTGTGTGTGTGTGTGTGTGTGTGTGTGTGTGTGTATGTGTGTGTGCATATACATATACATAATATACATATACACTTACACACACTGAGTGGCCAGATTATTATGCATTCAGAGATAATAATAATCTGGCCACTCAGTTTGTGTGTGTGTGTATGTGTGTGTGTGTGTGTATTTTTTTTTAAGTGATGATGTAAGAATCCACTCTATTCTCTCCACTGAGGCTGCAGGAATTTCCTGATAAAGATAATGCTCAAAACAAAGGCATAGTACCTGGCCACCATGGCTCAATGGTCAAGCATCCATTCTCTCCCTGTCCCTTCCTCTCTGAAATTAATAGAAATATATTTAAAAGACAAAGGCATAGTGGTCATAATATAGCATCAGTGACTCTGTCCATCTGGTCTTGATGGTAGCATGTCCAGCAAGCCTGATGGCAGAGTCCCTGTGGGCCAGGATTCAAACGGTTAGCTCTCCCCCTTTCCTCTGGCAGCTTGTCATCAATTCCTTCAGCAAAATTAAAATATTGGGACTCAGAGGACAAAACGAAGTGGCTTTTTTTTGTTGTTGACTGAGAAATAAGTATGATGGAGTGGGCCTTTTGCCCTGTTGGGGGTAGCTGAAGAGAAAAGAAGCCACGTTATGGTTGGTTAAGTGACAAGCAGGGCTGGCGGGGCTGCAAGGCCACAGAATGGCCTGCTGGCCCCGCTGCTCCATGGCTGCAGGCATTCAGACCCAGGCTAGGAGCAGACCTGAGTGGCCTTTGTGGGAAAGTGGGGCACTGTGCAGAGACTGAGCAAGCCGCGGCTCTACCAGCTGGGTTTACTGATCGCTGCTGAACACAACAGAGAAGGAGGCTGCTACGCTTCCTCCTGACTCCAATCTGTTAAGAAGGCAGCGTAACGTGGCTCTTTAAAATAACCCCCAGACAGTGAAGTGGGTCGACGGTGGTCTACAGTGTGGTTTCTGAATGCGTGAGTAAGGACTGAGTATGTGTAGCTTCCACGGAGGCTTGAGTCAAGATTTAAATTAAGATGCTTTGCTCATGCTTAGTCACAGGCTTAGGCTGTTTTTTTAGCTTTCGTTTTAAAAATAGTGGTTTTTGTTGTGATTATTTTTGTGGGGGCTAGTGGGTGGAGATAAACAGGAATGAGAAAATGATGGGGAATCAAAGAGAGACAGGTTCTGAAAGTGAAGAAAAAGGACTGGAAAAAAAGCTATTGTCTCTGGTTTTATGAAACTCTAGGTAGTTGCCAGTAAGTTCAAAGTATGATACAATATTTAAAACTCTCAAACCTTACTGCTAAGTCAGAGGCACTGACCTCTTTTTCCTTAGATTGTCAAATAAAAAAATGACAACAGCCAACACACATACACACACACACACACACACACACACACACAACCTTCCTAAAAACTAATTGCACTAAGTAAAATAAAATTAGAATATTTAGTGCTTCTAAATATTAATATTAAAATAGTAATATTCAAAAGTTCTTCAAATTAATTTCACTAAAAAATCAATTTCACTAAGCGAATGACATTAAATATTCAAAACGCCATTACATTCATTTTAATAGGAAAAAATTATAATATTGGCAATTTCTTAAAACTTCTATTTGTAGCCCCGACCAGTTTGGTTCGGTGGATAAAGCGTCTGCCTGCAGATTGAAGGGTCCCGGGTTCGATTCCGTCAAGGGCATGTACCTTGGTTGCGGGCACATCTCCAGTAAGGGGTGTGCAGGAGGCAGCTGATCGATGATTCTCTCATCGATGTTTCTAACTCTCTATCCCTCTCTCTTCCTCTCTGTAAAAAATCAATAAAATACATTTTAAAAAACAAACAAACTTCTATTTGTACTTTTTAGAGAGGTTTTAAATATTGTAAGTAAAAGTCAACACAGAAAGGCCTATACCAGCTAGTTCTGGGGCAGAGAAGGATGTAAGAGATGGAAAGATGCTGTTAACAGGGGAGTGTCTTTGAAAAACAAATCCAGAAATAGTAATGTAACGGCCCTGCAGAGACCGAGTATCACTGAACTTCACGTCCGAGTTCAATTCAGAAAGAGCTGGCATTGGCAATGAAAGAGACCAAGCGCTGCAGGTGCCCAATACTCGCTTGTTTGCAATTTGTGGGGAATGTTAGGCATTGATTTGATGGCAGTTTTCCCCGCTGACAGTCAGTATGCAACCTTTCTGTACATTTTCAGTCCAAAGAGGTCTCAAATTACTTGGTCACAACATGAAAGGAAGCTATGCCTTTTAGTAGCGAAGGCCCATTTGCAATAAATACTTTGCACCGTGTAATGGGTGCTTAATATGCTCATAAAGCCACCAGTGCCCGGATTTAGGATGGTGGTTGCCCTGCTGTATTTCTCAGATAAAGTCTTCCTCCTCAGAGATAGAATAAAATACAAGCAATAGCACGTATGACAAATGTATTCAGGGCCAATGTTAAAGTCTGTTTTTTGATGACCAATCTGAAAATGCCAATAAATATCTCAAATGACCAAGAAGAAATACAGTCCTAAGGGTTTTGCACTGAGTCAAAAGCTGTCTGGGTTTTTTTAATTGCTTCTCTATAACACAAAATGACTATGCTTAACCTAAGCAGATTTAAACAAAACTTCTTGATTTTTTTCTGTTACCTTAATACAATATCAAACAAAATTTTTTAAATATATGGTCTCATTTAGAAGGAAAAGGATCTCAGAAACAGTCTCTAATATTGGCATTTCCTTAGCTGACAATAGGTCTATAATGTGATAGATTGTAGACTCAAGAAACTAAATATTCTCAGGGTAATGCCGGTCACATAAAGCCAGACACAGCCAAATGCCAAAATGGCAGTAGATTTAGAATGGAAAATTTTAAGACCACGTGTGTCAAGCAGTATTAACCTGACAAAATTCCAGAATAGGAAAGAATTTGGATAAGCTGAGAGTTCACCATAATGGGATATGACTGTGTGTTTCTAGCCAAGATGGTACGTGACATCTCTGGCAATAAGAATATATCCTACACAGATGAATCATTTTGGCAATGATGTAAGCAGAGATACATCATGATTTAGAATGTTTTTCATCAGCAGCATGCATATTAGACAATCCCACTTCTGGCAAAACCCCTGTCCATATGACTCAGATCAGTTTTTTCAGAGCTGAAATCCTTAAAGGTCTACACAGTATTATACATGCTCATTGACAGTTTGTAGTTACCATAATTTGGAGAGGGGTTTATTTAATCCATAGCACTTATGCATAAAGTAATAGCTTATATTTTCAAACTGTATTCATATCAGGTATTAAGATATTTGAACTGCCACTTAAAAAATAAGACACCCATCATTTTGACCCATTATGGGATTTCCTTTGAAGGATGAGGATTTACACCACTGTCCTACAGTTTTGTGTGGTTGACGAAATTAGCATAGGTTTTGTGCATGTAAGCTCTCCCTCCAGGCTTAATATTTCCACAGATTTGCTGATCCGACACATAAGGAAAGGAAAGGAATGTTTGAGAATATAGAAGGGAACAGAAGGAAGGTTTTCTTCCTTCTTCATCTGGAAGGGTTGTTGCTGCATGTATATACTGACCAGCTGAAAGGAGAAATTGATGTTGTAGCAAAAGGTAGTTTGGGTATTAGTTGCTCTCATTTAAAATGGTTGCTTTGCATTTACCAAGATACAAGGGTGGTGAAGATCAGATGAAACAAAAATAT